ACATGCTGTGATTTCTTGGAGCCCTGCTGTTATCGGCCACCTCTGTCCTTCGCCATCATCTTTCCCACACTGAAATCCAATCCCTCATTTCTCCGCAGAGCTGGCAGGACCCTGTCCTGTTAGCGTCCTCCTCCCACACAATGCAGCACTGGTAAGCAGCCATTCCAAACAAACTTGACTGAGAGTGCTCGGACAGAACAACAACAAACTGCAGTGAGAAAATGTCTCCAAATTGGAGAAAGGGATTTGTGGGGATGGCTGCTCAACAATTATATCAGAATTGAAGACAGTGGCCAAGATATATTCACGGATAAAATATATTTTCATGTGGGTTAACTGAAACTGATGGGATGCATCTCAATAGATTCCCTCTAAGCAGCAGCTGGTGTGCAGGGTATTCTGCTGATGTGACATGAGGTTCACTAGGGGGCAGCAATCATTAGACTACCATACTGTCCCTTGATGGACTAAACCTGGCTAACTGCTAGAAAAAATTTGGTTTCAGGTCTCTTCAAAAATACCCATTAAGCAAAACACAATACCTAGAAAAACCTTGCAGTCATGTCACATTTGTATGTCAGTTATCTCTGGCAGTTATTTGCACAAGGAGGCAGGAGCAAGCAGAGGGGTGTTTCCTAAGGTGTGGACTGTTTTGGAATAACAACTTCACAAACAGTGAATGATATTGGTAGAATATTTAGAAATGTTGATCTTAAGTGTGTAAGAAAGGCAGGATACAGTGGATGTAACACTGTAGTATCTCTGGCTGTGTGCTGCTTGGTGGGAGCCAGATCAGGTTCTGCCAGAAAGTTAAAAACATGCTCACAAGCTGCTGTGTTTGCTGATTTTAGTGTATGAGCTGCTATTTTCTCACAAACAGGAGGAACCAGACAGTCTCCTGGAGGAGACAGAAATTCTACAAAAAACCTGCACGTGTGGCTTGTTTGTATATGCAATCCCTCAACTCAGCCACTTGAGATCATATGATTAATTTGTTTTGTATCACAGGACACTTTGGGTCAGAGCCATCAACATCACCTGTTGTTTATGGGCCTTTTCATAGCAATGTCCTCACACAGATGTGAACATTCACAGACATGTTTACTACAAAATTAAAGGGTAAGTTCACCTAAATTGTAAAACTGCCAGCAGCTCCATATAACAAAAATCTGGATTAATCTTAATACTTTTTCAACTAACTTATACCCACTGCAGCTCATATCTGTGAAGATATGAGCTGCATTGGAATTCTTGAGAAAAAGCTGTTAGGTTGGCATGTGGTTAAGTTTTTGCCATAACATGTTTCATGAGAAACATTACAAGTTCTGCTTTCTTTTCTCACCAAGCGCTGCCTCCAGTGGTGCGATGTAAAAGTTAAATCAACTTTGACTCCCGCTCTGCTACTATTTCCTTCACTTCTCTCTCAATTTTGCATGCTGACCACCTTGCCCCGGCCTAGCTATACCTAAACCTGGATGAAAAAACTGTTACCATTTTCTCTTGTTTGAGTAATGTTTGCTAAAATCTACAGCACCCTGAAGTTTTCAGGACAGTTTTCTTCTTATTATTTGTAAACTAAAATTTTTTATGAGGAATCGGTGGTTTTAGTTCTTTTCAGGGATGTGTTAATTCAAATAAAATTAAACAACAATGCCTTCTTCTTGCAAATGGCTTGCTGAGGATGATCACAACTCATCACTCAGGAGAGGAAACCTGACGAGCATCAATCCTAAAATACGACAGAATGTTTGATTTAAGTGAGCTTTAATGCATGAGACAGTTTGCTTCACTTACGGTCAGTGCCTGCCTTAGTCCCGCCCACCGAGACAACACTGGCTATTTGTACTATTTACACAGTCTTTAAAGAAGGCCATTCAAAACACGACAGAAAACTCCACGCAATCAAGCGAAGGTCCCTCTGCTCTTTGATCTGTTGACTACGTCCCAACTTTTCCTTTTGCGGACTTTCAAAGCCTGACAGATGGCGGCTCTTTTTAGGGACGTCCTGTGCGGCTCCACAGAGGACGTACTCGTGTTCGCTAATTGCCGGCTGAGACAAAAGTAAAGCCAGTCCACGACTGAAAGATCAAACCAGACTGGAAGCCTGTGTTTCGGAGCCAGATTCACCGGCTGCTGTGGGCCAAAGAGAACTCTTACATAAACTGGTCAGAGTCAGTGAGGAAGTGACCTGTTTCCATGGCCAAGTCTAAGTGATAAACGAGTTCTTATCAGCTATTTGTGACCATCACTGCCAAATCAATGGGTCCCACCGCAGATTGTGGGTTAAGGTCACTTACTGACATGAACTATACAATATGACTGAATCAAGTCTAAACCTATGGAGAAGGTCAAAGGTCAGAACCACATCTGCTGTGAAGATTTCATTTTTAAGACCACGAAAATAAAGACTTGGCTCGTGAGGGTGAAGCCAAAGACTAGAGGATCCAGACCTCCATTTGCCTTTTTCCTCCAAGGTCGAGACGAAGCATGTACTCTGATGGAAAACTACATTTGAAGCTGATAGAGGATCAAAGAAAGGCCCGAGCAGAGCTGAGCTGTAAGACGATATCAGTGAGGGTGAGAAGTTGGCAACTGACGGTAACAAATCTGTCTGAGTGAATATCGCTCACGCAGCGCTTCACATTAAACAAAAGGCCGGGATCACAAAGCATATTAGGGCTAAAATCCTGAGTTGGCAGTAACTGTACAGCCCAAATCGTGATGTACAAATGACTTCTAGCATGTTCCCACTATTACTTATCAGTGATTGGAAACTTTTACCGTATTCCAGGAAAGGAATCGCTATTTTTTTTTTTTTGCTCTACCTCTTTGGCTTGACACGCAACCAGTAGTGAGGAAACTGAGCTTTGGGCTTTTTCTTTCATTGATTTCTTCTCATTTTACTGAAAGTATGATATTTACTGCCCGTAGTGAGGATATCTAATAAAAAGGTAATTTCCCAATCAATAATAATAGCTGGAAACTAACATGAGCGAAAATTTGTATTATTAGTGATATTGCTTTTTTTAGTGTTACTTTCCAAACACTGCATATTTATAGTTAAAATCACAGGCATATTTTGCTTGAGTTTGTGAGAACAAAATGACTACTCACAAATTATTTTTATATCCAGATGTTTGAAGAGTCTTTCTCCTGATAAGAAAATTGTGTCTCTACATGTCGTACATGTGCAGTTCTCTGTGCACTGATGTTTATTTAGATGAAGATGTCACAAGCCTGAGATGAATTTTGCATCAGTAAAGAGACAAATAACAAACATGAGATCGCTAAAATTCCTCATGTGTTTAGCTTCTTCTGTCTCCGTTGTAGTTGTTTCTCTTTCCTATACCAGGGAGGACACTTCCACTCAACTGCCGAAAACCCACTTGGCAAGCTTTCTTTGAAATTAATGCTGCTTAACTGCATCTGAGTTGACACCAGGTGCAGGTATTACTGGTGTACTGCTGCATCTGCTGGTTAGACAACAAAAGAAGGAGGGAAACTTGGATATAGTACAAAAACTCCTTCTAATAAGAAGAAATAAGCTCATATTTATATTTATATTCCACTGATAATTTACTGATAATTTTGTTTATATTTATACCACTCATTCTGTTCATCCCGCCATACCTGTCATATTTATATTCTTTATATCGTCTAGATTTGCCACTGTCTGTTTATATCTTTTAATGACTTCTATTTTTTATATTTTATATTTCATGTTGAATGCTGTTTGTACCGGGGATTAGAGGGAAACGCTATTTCAATTCTCTGTATGTCCTGCACATATGGCATTATTGATAATAAAGTTGACTCGACTTGACTTGATTCTTCTGAGTCATTACCCAGAGTTGTAAGATGCAAGACTTGTTTAGACTTGTGACACCTGCCCTTCATCTGACACCTGCCCTTCATTTACGACATATCTTAAAGTGATTGCATAAGTTAAGTAACCAAGCAATGGAAACAACTTAAAAGGAGAAGTTCTTCACCTGCTACCTGCAAGATCTGGTGATTTCCACAGCACCAGGAGCTTCAAAGAAACTGGGGGTACAGGAAATGTATCAGTGGTGCTTCACGATGAGACAGTGGGTGTAACTCTACAGCAAAGTTCTGAGGAGTTGGTGGATTCCCGTGTCCCTTTCTATCTATGTTGAACACACAGACTGACAGCGATGATAAGAAATAGATAGAGGGTTTGGCCCGGAAGAGAGAATGCTCGAGAAATTCATGAAAATATCTTCTATATTTCCCAAGAATGCAAATGACTTTATCAAGAAATCCCATTTTTTTGTTATACTAATCCATTTCCAATGTTCTCTTTTATACTAATATACAACCTGCAGATTGTGTTTGTTTTGTATTTGATTTTTTCTTATATTTTGGTATATATAATTCTTATATAAGGAATTACCGGTTTGCACCAAACCCCACATGTATTCATTTACATTAAAATATTTTGTATTTATATTGTATAAACTAAACCAAACTATACTAAACAAAACTAAATGTTATTACGACAAGGACCCAAGATGCTGCACTATTCAAAAGTAAGTTTACAGTGACGGTGACAGGGGGGGATTTTCAGCTTCCACAGCAACAGCATGCTACCCTATGAATAATATTAATAATGTTAATAACATAAATAATGATGATTGTAATTATGATAAAACAAGAAGCGAAGTAAAACAATATCATTACAAATCAAAGATGATATAATACAAAATCTAAAATCAAATCCAACAGATACAATAATACAACATAATGAATACACTCTGCTAGAGACCCATTGCATTCACAGCAATATGATATACATCATTTATGCACATATATATATAACCTTAAAGTTGCATCAAGCAATGTGTGCGTGTGTGTGTGCGTGCATGCCTGCAGGACTGCTGCACCTATGCTCTACACCGGTCCATGAGGCAGGAGTGAACTCCGCCCACTCTCTATTTAAACCCTCTATGTCACCCGGCGCTCAGCTTCTCAGTGGAGAACTTGATCTTGACCAGCACGTTTGGATTCATGGTGAAAGAGACCAAACAAACCAACTCACAGGCAGATCCCGACTTGTGAAAGCCTCAAAGGTAAGAGGGCTGTCTCATGACATCATGTTTTATTCATTGAAATGCGACTTTTACTCACTTTGACTAATTTGCAGAGTAGATATTTTTAGATGTTCAGTTCTCATCTGGTGCATAAGTTTAATGTGTGTTATGAAGTAGAGGCTTATAGATAGTGTGTGATTGTAGAAGGCGTGTGTGTGTGTGTGTGTGAGAGTGTGTGTGTGTGTGGGTTTTAAAAGGCTGCCTTTGTAGTAAAAAAGTTTAAATGAATGAAAAGTGAGAAAAAACATAAAAATAATCTATGTTCTGTTATAACTGACTACAAATAGAAAGTTAATTGATAATTGATTTCTTATTATCTGCTTTTCCCCCTTAAAGGTTTCAATCTACACGTGGATACCTGAACCCAGCAATCAAGTTTTTTTTTCTTTTGGAGAACTCTTATATTTATTTCTTTTCCTTATTTCACATTATTCACTTTTTATTTTGTATTATTATCGTCCCCCCCGACCCCCCCCCACCCCACTCCAATCCGCGCCACTCCCGGGATTTAAGCTTGGCCCCCTCCCCTCCAGAGCGGGTGTGCGTTTAAAGTTGGCCCAAGATGCGGTGTCTTCTCCCGCTCACTGTGTATTGCATCAGCCTGGTTTCCCTCCAGCTGCAGGCTGCACCGGTGGAGGAGCGCTCCGACAGCAGCACCAGGTAAAAACACGCGCACACGCACGCACACGCACGCACGCACACACCGCGACCATTCCCACCAGGACACTACTTTATTAGGAGAAAGAGCTTGACCCGCCGCTCTCCTCTGATTGGCTGGACAGTGAGCTAATCTCAGTGCACTTTATCCAAATATTACTGCGTTGCTGCTGCTGCTGCTGCTGCTACTTTGATTTACTTGGTTCTGTGGGTAATGGCCTTGTTAGATATTACATGTGTTTTGAACAGCAGCAGCCTGCAGTGTAGTGGGTCACTGTGCCCCCACTACAATGCTTCACAGCGAATTTGTTAATTGCAGCTTGCATGTGGTTGCTACAGCCTCACCAGGAGCCCCTCCACCTGCTTTCTGTGTTTTCTCAAGTGGAGTCTGGCACTGGAAATGTTCACAGTGAGGGATCATGACTTCTTCTTCATCTTTGTACAGTTTATTAGCGGGCGGTGACCGATATCAAGTTGCCTTCTTCTTGCATACCTTCTTACTGTAATACCGTTTCAATTTCAGCTGACCTTTGAGCTTTGAGCTGAATCAAAGACATGAGCGCGTGTAAGGAATCATGTGCGTAAAAGTGAAAGTGCTGTGTTGTGTCGGGCAGATAGAAGATACTATAGGTTGCAGGGTTAATGGCCCTGACATGATGCAACAAAAAAAAACATGTTCTCCTTGAGAGAGTCCTTGTTGAAAAGCACATCAGCTGAGGAATGAGTCACAGTGTTCGAGACCCAGCCAAGCCAATGGCAGTTTTATCCCTATTATTTGTTTTTGAACAGTATTTGTTCAATAGCACGTTTACAGGGGCCATACTGTGACTTAGTTTTATTTTCTGTGGAGGGTTCTGTGTGATCAGGGCATGAGAGGAGTGTTCAAGTTGTAAAAATCTTTTCCAACTCTGCATTTTAAAACACAGGATGGAAATGTGGCCAAGATTTGAATACTCCAAATCACATCACTCATGGCTTCAGAGTTGCACTCAATTCGTATGGACTGTATTCAATTTCAACAATCTCCTTTCCTCTCCTCCTTCTTCGTCCACCTCCAGTCACATGAGTAACTGTTTATAGAGGTTTTGTTTGGTATAATCTCCTTGTGATTCTGAACGGAAAACTGTTACGTCTGTGGTTGGAAAACCAGTTTATCTCCAGCCAGCCCAGCCAGAAATACCAGAATGGAATCATAAAAGATCCCGTGACTGAGTGACACCTGTACTTTTCCACCCTTTCAAGTGACAGAGCTTTTAATAGCCCTGAATAAGAGATTGGGACAACAGCACCGCAGCCAGTGTTATTCCTCACAGTCCAACCCACATACAGTACAGTCTACCGGCTTTGGGGTGTGAGGGAGGGGAGGCCTGCCAGCGATGCCATACATGTGTGGATTTGCAGTGGTGAGAAGCAATGTGGAATGTGGTGGAGTCGGTGTGTGGATGCCCTCTTCTGGTGGATGTTGGGCCCACAGTTACCGGCTCAGCACCAGCACTGATGCAGAGCAGGCTCAGTGATGGGACATGATGGCTGGGTTAAGGTCTAACCTGACTCCTCTACAGAATGTCAGTGTCTACTTATCACCTTCACCTTTAAATCGTCTGACATCAGCACTTTATACATTCTCTTTGGGCATTTTTGCATTTATTTAATAATGGACATGGATGTCATCACTTGTGGGTGATCTTTTTTTTTTTAACTGAGCTTGATTTCACACTAATAAAGGAAATGAATATATTTTATGAGTGAAGGAGGCTGGAAGACAAGAATACGAATTCTGATCATTTTTAATAATAGCGGAAGATCTCAGAGTACAAATTTCCTTGCATGCATTTGCAACCATCTCTCACAAGTGTGTGTTACCAAACACACATGTTCAGAAAAAGCGGTGAGCACCTGCTGCTGAAACCTAATCGTTACCCTGGGAATCGAGGTGCCTGTTTCCACTCATCGTCTCTGTTGGTCCGGCCTCATTCGCTACACCTGCCCAGCACCGTAATCCCCCTTCATTCTCATCTCTGTATGAAAGTGTCATCTGAGTCATCACTGCATTTCAAGAGGGATTATTATTTATGAATTCAGGTTAGAGTTAACTCCTGATTAGTTCCCGACTTTGGTTTCGGACCCATTTTACATGTTGGGCAGCTTTTTTTGAACATGTGCTGACATTGAACTACGGTCTAATCATGTTTACCTTGTTATCATCATCATCAGTGAAGCATCATTTCATATATAGATATAATTTCCCCCATTGGCCCATTGCCTACCTGACACTATCAACCGGGATACCTGGAAGGAGATAATCTGAACCGACCCCCTCAAAGATACCATGACCACCCAGTAGAAGTCACAGCAACAACATCATGATCATGATCATGGCAAATATTTTTTTTTCCTGCAACCAGCTGGACACCTTCTCATATAGATCAGACTTCAGTTTGACAAATTAATCACAAAAGAAAACACATTATTTCAAAATGTGCCCAAAGCGGAGTCTTCCAACTGACTTATGTGCATGTAAATACTCAAACTGAAGGTCTGCCATTGGGCAGTGGCATTTTTATGAAGACCTGTAGCAGTAAAGCTGACCACAGTCTATACAACTATATTTCAGTTTGACAACTCAGGGGGAGATTCCCCTGAAAACTCCCTCTGCTTCATGAGCTTCCACATTTATCACTTAGCACATCTCACATAAATGTACCATTAGGCTTTAATTAGGACAGTAAATTCTTCCTCTCCTCTCACGCCATGGAGCACATACTGTTCTGTTACTATCATAGACTGACAGCATGAAACACTTCCCCTCCCGTTGGAGGCTGAGTGTGTCTGGGCTTATGATGTCTGTCATTCCTTCCCCCATTCTGTGTTTGTGTCCACGCTGTCCCCATATGTCCTGTTAAGGGCACAACAAACACCAAGACAATGGCTAATGGGCGTTTTCCAAACATTGCATGTTCCATGGTTGACATGCAGCACATACCCTTCAGTGATGATTCACATCTTGATGGGGTGTTTTTATGTGAGGGGAAAAAACCACCGGGGTCTGTAGTCCAACAACAAGTTAAATATGGCTTAAGCTGCAAAGCGGCTTTAGAATACAGATTGCAGAAATAGGAAAAGGCTTGTTGCTTTTGGGATGTAAGAGATTTTAAGCTGATTTGCTGTCAGTCTTTCTCTGTCTAGCTGATGATGATGATGATGATGATGACACATCAATCTGTGTGCTTACGTGGTGGGTGTTCTAACTCTTCAAGGGCAAATAAAGTTTTGTTAAATCATTAACTCACTCTTGCATATGTGAATCTGAACAGCATGCGGTTCAGACGTCCATTGCAGACTCTCTCAGCATAATATTTACCTGAGATTGACTGAAGTCATGTGTCGCTAGATGGTTTTTACGAGCCACTCTGCGCACGCAGTTGACTTTGGGTCCATCCTCTTGAATTGCTATCTCTGTGCTGACATATTTACAACGTATCAAGGAACAAAAAGTACGTTAGTCTGTCATTATCATGTATACATGCTGGCAGAATGATTGAAAGCCAGATTGCCTCTGCTCTTCTCATATGTCTTCTTTTTGGCTCGAGCTATTTACATATTAAACAGGGTCAATTTGACCAAACCCAGGCTGAAGCTGAAGAGGCTGAAAGCTGCGACCAAAGAGGCAAAGAATTCCACTGTGGATTAATGGCTAAGACCTAAATTCCACCCTCCAAAACTTTAAAGAGCTGGTTTCCATTACGCACAGAAAGCCACACCATTGTGGAGGCATGAATGTTTATGTATAAGAGGAGCAGCTTGCTGTATAGTGAAGGAAACTGAGGGCAGACGAAACCTGCTGTTGTTTAGTGTGGATTGCAAGTGTTGTGTCTACTGTTTCAGGGCAGACATGTAGTTTTTAACTTGGCACCCTGTGTGTCCATGTAATTTACTGTCTCTTCTCAGTATGTTCAATGTCCCCTGTTGCTTGCGTAGAGCAAATCACATCCCGCTGAGGAGGTTATGAAAGCGGAGGTTCTCTTAAACAACTAGGTCTGGTGTTTCATGGGAAATAAATCACCAATCCTGTATTTTTGTCCTATTTCTCACTCACAACAATCTCCCCACTGTTACATGGTGGAAGATTACAAATGAATGTACCATATTTACTGCTGATTAAGGCTGACCTCGGTAAGCTTCAACTTTTAGTAATCATGTTGTGTATCGACAGCATGGTACTAGGGTACGGTGTACCCTTTGCAGGGTTAGCATTAGAGGTTGGTTTGAGAGGTCTTACCCTCTTCATGGGTGGCTATGCTAGGTAAAGCCAGCCATCATATTGGGGAGATTTCAATCCAAGCCTTCAAGCAACAGTCCTGGTCGAAATCATCCACTCGACTGAATTTCAAGTTCATCATTTAGAGTATGTATAAAAATAGATGCAAAGGATTTCTCTTTTGTTCAGAAACCTTTAATATTCTGGATATTCTAGTTTCAAAGTTGTATTCTTGAAATTCAGGGGTGCCAATAAAGCTGCTTTCAGACATGCACTGAACTCCGGATATTCTTCTAAAAGTAACCAGAGTTTCTCCTGCCAGCCTCACAGGAAACACTTGCGGTGGGTGTGTTGATGGTATTTGACAGATCTGAAAATAAATAAATAAACAATGCAAATATCTCAGAATGAAAAAGACAGTCACGCCGAATGAGATGTTAACTTGGAAAGACAACAAGATCTGACCTGGAGAATCTCCTGCTGCATAATTCATATGTGAAAGGCAAATGTCAGGACAATGTTTGGAGATCATGTCTGGAAACGGCTTAGGACCAGACGACCATGCAAGGTGAATGAACAGGCTGAATGAACAACCAAAGACGAAGTTACTTTAAAATCTTTGATTGTCTGCCAATCATAACAATCTATGTTACTGTTGAGTTATGGGATTAGACTCCTAATTGACTTTTCCAGGACGTGGTCTCCATTGTAATTGTATTGGGGCTGTGTCACAGTCACAAGGTTCTTGTCTGCCAGCCAGATGTCCTTACTAGCCTTTTGGTTCCTGGATTTAATTAAAGCTGATTAACATGCAGAGACCTGTAAAGTCCAATCCTGTGCGGAGGCTGGAGGGTTACTGTATGTCATTGTTGAAATGTTATTTCGGAGACTGAGCATCATGTTCAGCTGTGAGACTGAGCTGAAGAGCAGGCCAAGAAGAAAACAAAGACCTTACTGGTCAGGTATTGGCTTGAATACCGGATCTAGAGAGGTCAAAGCATTGGTGTCACCCAAGTTTTAAGTAGTTTAAACCCAGGAAAAAGCTATTCAGCCACAATAAATATACATATAGATATCTACAAAATGAAAAATTCTGTGGCTAGGATATTCATGACAGCAGGGTTACAATCATACAGAGCCCAAATAGTGCAGTCTGGTACAGGGCCACCACTGCTGCCTTCTGGCCCACGTAAAGAGCTCTCACTTTGCAGACAAGGTGGGTGTAACTTGGTGATGTGGCACCACAGCACACCGAGACTGTCCTGGAAATAGTGCTTTCCTCTGTCTGTGGCCTGGCGTCACACAGCCATTCATTCAGCCACTGTTGGACAGCAGGTCCTCTGCAGGCTACCAAACCTGCCAGCAGTGAGCCTGCAGCTGAAGTGGCTGAATAAACCAAAAGCGTCTCATTTCAGCACAGAGGAGCTGTCAGCTGCACGTCTCACATCTCAACCCCTCAGCGCGAGTCAAGGTGAAATAACACCAGTCAGCAAAAGTAAAACACAGTTTTTATAATTAGATCAACTGTGGCTTCTGCCTGTAAGAACATGGAGGAAAAAAATGCCAAACCTGCTACTTGGATTTATTTAGCCCTGTTTGACTCAGAAAAGCAAACATGGCAGATATTTTTTCCCTGGTGCAGTTTTGAAACTTCTTTGCTAAATAAATCACTATTGTTAACTTTTGACATTCTGAATCCACTGGCTGCCAGGTGCATCGCGGCCTTTCTATTTATCTCAGCGGACCCTCAGCAGCGGTGATGGGTGAGCACTCAGAGATGTGACTCACAATGTGCTGTACAAACACAGCAGAGACAGTTCAGCGAGGAGCTGCCGGGTCACGTTGTGAGACGGGACTGTCTTTGTCAAACAATGAACAGATGGTGAGTCAGTTGCCGCTGTGTTTGCTGAACGGCCGGTACTCGCTGGTCCACTGTTCTGCAGAAAATGTCCACCTAACAGGCCATTTAGCCTGATGTGGGGTTTTAGACACCCATTTTTCTTAATGAGTCTATTTACCCAACCTACAAAACACTTAGCTATGTACTTATGAAAGTGAGAGTTTTTTTGTTTCAGTCTTTTCCACCAGTCTTTTAAATTTAGGTCAACTGTATTTTGTTTGTGGTACTCAATACTCTATAACGTGACAATTGAATGATTCACGAGCACCTTTTTAACCTTTTAACTTTAACTACTTTCTACTAGTACTGATTATTTAGTGTCTGTATTTATTGTTTTTGTTCTTTTTTGTGTTGGACTTTTAGTCTCACTGTTGATTTGCATGATTAAGTGATAATTACTTTTGAGGACACCAGGAATTGTACTTGCTACCTTGGCAGTGGCTAAAAGAAGGTGTTTTTGCAAGGGCATTGTGGATAATTCTGAGACATGTGACTAGCCAGCTAGTAACAGACAAGTGTGCTTGACTTACCCTTGACTTCCACTGTTCTGAGATCAGTTATACAGGCTTTCAAAGACATATTGATTCACTTTGCATATTTACAGGTATGTATATGTACAGAAAGATTGAGATATATTTCCTCTGTACTATACATTTGAATGCATACAATGTATGGAGGTGCTGGACTTGATAGAATAATGTCGTGTTAGGCATTATGTGAAAAACCATCTGCCTTTATGTTGGGCATTAAGAGATGAGCATGGTGTCCACGTCAATGGGTGACTGTGCAGGGAGCCAGTCTGTGTTTAGACAACAGGCAAAAATGTTTTGTTTTTTAAAGCTGCTTTGTGCAGCTTATTGGATTTCTGCAGAATTCCCACGTTACAACATTATATTAACAATGCTGGCATGGAAACTTGCATGATGCATGAAGCAACAAAAACGTTTGTTAAGTCTGAGAACTCGCTGAATGAAGCTTTAATTTGTGTGTAGCACTTGTAAGCACATGTTAGCATTCTAAACTAAAATGTTGAACAAGAGAACTTACTAAACATCGAAATATTAACATTGTCTGTGAAAATGTTAACATGCAGACTAATGTCTAATTTGAACATTTAGCTCAAATTGCATTTTAGACATGTGGTTTGGATTCCACTTAATGAATAAAAATCACACACCCTGACAATTTGTAAAGATTTTCACCTGATTTGCATTTTCTCCTCAGGTCGGACCTCTTCAGCAAACTCATCGGTCAGACGGAGGATAAAGCCTTGGCGTCGGGAAACCAGCCAAACACCGCCATGCCCTCTTCAGCCCCCAGCCAATCCCCAAAATGGCTGCCTGGTTTCCTCAGAAGCCCACCGGCCTCAGGAGCGAGAACAGTCTCGCCAAGCCTGGGTTGGCTTTCTAAAGTTTTGCAGTTCAAGACGAGGGCACTGAGAGTTCGCCGCCATGCCCACTCGGGTTCGCGAGGGGGTCACCACTACCCTCATCATGCCCAGCTGAAGAGAGTGGGTTGTGTCCTGGGAACCTGCCAAGTGCAGAACCTTAGCCACCGGCTCTATCAGCTCATTGGTCAGAGTGGCAGAGAAGACTCGTCCCCCATTAATCCCAGAAGCCCTCATAGTTATGGATGAGTCAGACACCTCCAAACTCCCACAGCAAGTCTATCTATATCTCCATTTATTTATCTCTTAATGTATTACTGATAGTCTTTTGCATTTACGTTTGATGTAGTCCTTAACTTATGTGTATCCATCTCAAAATGACAATTATACTTACAAATGACTGAATGTCATGCCTCGCTACTTATTGTGCTGATTAATGGATTTGAAGATTCAAATTCAAGATGCAACTGTCTGAATCCTTTTCGAAACCCCTGATTTGAGGTCCACCGCCATCCTGAGAACATTTGAAAGACACTGAAGTTTTTTTCGATTCTCCCTCCTGAACGCTCAAGAGAAACCAAGAGGCCTCCGTTTGGTGTCTTAATCCTGTTAATGTAAGAATGAAGGCTTGTCTTCAACACCAACCAGTGGCTCGGCCCTGTCTGCCAACTGACCTCCCCAGCGGTGGTTATCCCGCAGCTCATTGATCAAACACTTAAGCCCTTAATGTGGATTTCAACCTGCACTCTGAGCTGGAGCCCTGTCAAAACCAATGTATTCCCAAAGACCTGGTAATTTGACCCGATGAACTCTTTTACCTCCTTGATTTGCGCCCTCCTTTTTTGGTCAACTTATTGCACTCATTTCACCACTGCACATAATTTGAAGAGGAACACTGACATCCCTGGAGCAGTCCACGAGCTTTCAGCTGAACTGGGAATTCATCGCTCAGCAAGACGTTGTGTTTCACAACCACGACTTTACATTTGAAACCAGCCACAGCACTTCAGCTAGACCCAAGTTTAGAGCATTCGGAGTCAGGTCTCAACCACATAAAATCCATGTTGACAATGAAAAAAGAAGAAGGTTCAGAAGCCACTGCTTTGGGAGGAATGTCAGTTCCCAAAGGACCAGTTTCTTTGTTGCATTATAGTGGCTGGTTGGCTGACATAGTAGTGAAGCCTGGAGCCATGGATCAGCACTCAGTCGTACCACTGCTGGCATTTTCTCTGCCAGGGGCCAAGTCTGAAATATTAGCCCTTTCACGTGAGTCATAAGTTCCCCCTCCAAGTCAGGACTTTGGGTTGACACAAGTTATTAAACTTGGCTTAATCACTTCAGTCATATATACCGACACAGCTGGGGAGGGTGGGGCCCTGGGCCTCCACTAGTCTGCACACTCAACACTTACACATAAATATAAAGAGTAAGGCATATGGCCCCCACACATTTGTGCACATGCAGCCTTAAAGGGTCAGTTCAATTTGTTTTTTTTAGTGAGTGAGTTCTTAGTGTAGGTCAAATAAAACCCAAACTAACTTTGTATAGACACATTTTCTAATTAGGTTGAAGTAGCCCTTTAAATGGTTACGTGCCCCCAAAAAAAGAATCCACTTACTTTTTATAAACATACACTGAGCTGACTCTTTACAGCAAGGGACCAATTAAGCAAAGTGGACTGAGGGAATATAGCAATACTCTCAAGTACATCCCATGAAGTGTTCTTACAAGTTAGAACATTTTTCTTCTTATGCTTAAGTGTTCAGACGGAGGATGTAAGCCCATGAGATTTTTTGCAGCATCATTCCCTATGAATTAAAAAACTAAAATCTTATAATGAGTTTCTAAATGCCAGACAAGAGGGATTTTTTTTAGAACATATGACAAAAGGTCAATTGTTTCTTATGTTTCCTCTTGGCAATACCTGACAGCACTTTGCACCAATTTACAAAATTTTGTTGGCAGCACCAGGCACCCTAAAAGTCCTACTGTTACAATGTGGGTTTCTAATGAGAGACCACGGTGACCAAAATGTTAGGTGTAAGACAGCCTGATTTCAAATAACACACAAAATAGCGTAGCACCATCACAAATACATGCCCTGACATTTCTGTTCTTTAATTATGTCCATCTTTGAAACGGTGGACAGATGATGGACTAAGACTAAACGAGGTCGAGCTCTCCTCATAATGCAAGAAGTCAAAAAGTCAAACAACCCCCCCCCCCAAAAAAAAATGCAACCAAAGCTATAAAACCCACATGGTTATTCTGAGAAACATTTATATTACATAATACTTACATATTCCAAACTTCTGTTCCAGGACTTAACTTTATTGTAGTCTTAACTTAGACTATTTCACATTTCAGTAGAAAAAGCAGCGAATGTATGTGCACACTCACTTAGTTGTTTGATCATAGAAGCATTTGAGCTTTTGTTATAGCTTCACATATGTTTTGTATTCTTAAGATCATTAGTTGAAACTCACCAAATACCTGGCAATACTTGACGTCATATATTAATGTGTTTTACATCTTAATCTATGTTTCTTCTGATTCTTGTTTTTCTTTGATATTTGCCCTATTCTCCTTCATCAACAGCTTCTTTATATTAAGCCTCTCAGCCCGCTCTGCCTCTCGTTCCCTCTTCTATCTGTAATCATTGGAGCCTGGAGGTCACAGGGTAATAATCATTGGTTCCTTAGTCCCTAAATCTAATCTCTTCATAGGCTTGCTGAGGTGAAACATGCCATCCTCTTAGCTGTAATGGAGCTAATCATTGTCTCGTGACAAATCATTAAAAAGGCTTTTTAAATGCTGAAAAACCCTGGTGGATATCTCTTCTTTTCGAAATTCACTGTTTCACAAGTATGTGTTTGAGCTGAGTTATGCATCCTATCAGGACACTTATCTCCTGTGTTTGATCTGTGCTCTGGACCATTGTGCCACTAGCCTTTTTTTTCCACTGTACTTTTCTTACGTCGGGCATTGCGTCATGTCAAGTTGTGTGAACAAACTGTGCGTGACCGCTAATACCTCCCCAAATAAACATACTCAGATTTCATAGCTCAGTTTTTCAAAGACGTACAGTAGGAATGAGGTCAGTGTCGGCATATAAAAAAAATGTTTCTGTTAGTGTTAGTGTACAATATAGGAAGACCTCAGTGGATCTACTTTTTCCTTTTTTTTCCCTTTTGAAATCCACATAATCTGCTTTGTTAGTCACAGGAAAGCACTTTAATGCAACAATGTGTTCATCAATAGTTTCTCACAGCTTGAATTTCATTCATTGTAATGAACATGTGAAAGTTGGTTCCTATTGTAAATGTTGCATTTGAGATGTGTTTGAATATGTCAGTGCACTTAATGTGTCATCACGGTGACTGTGAAGGGTGACTGTCATGTGCCCCTGTGAATGTGTGAGTGTTTGATTGTATGTATGTATAT